TGAGCGCCAAGAACGGCGCGCGCACAAGGCGCTTTTTTTTTCACGAGTGCCGCGCGCACTAAAGTGTTAAATTTACTGGGAAATAAAAAACAGCCAATGCCGAATCTCGACAACCACTGGATGGAGCAGATTAAAGGACCCGAGAGCCATGAGGGCACTACGAGAGTCAACGACAACTACAAAGGAAGATTGACGAGATTGATGGTGGATGAGCATTAATGATATACAGTATTGGTTTCATTGAGGTTGAATATGTATTTTTTTGGCAATAACTTTTGAGTTATCAAATCCAATGTGCTGTCCAATTTTATTTGTAATGATACCTGCTTTATGGGGTTCTGGGAGTTCTTCTACTCCAAGCCAATATAACATATAATGATAACGCTGCCGCTAAATGTTAAAAAGTGGACTATTAATGCTTATATTTCCTTTACTTATCAGTTTATATGAGGATCTGGCACAAGTTGGCAAGATTTTTGCTTGTTAACATTGTTATGTCTTCACAACATTGAGCCTCTGGGTAGTCAACAGAGCATTATTTGCAAGTGAGCAGTACTGAGGTGGTGAATAGGTATCTATAAAGCCCATGATGGTTTCAGTGTGGTTGTAGCCAACGAGTTTTACAGCTACTGTACTAGTACTTGTGAATTGTCAAATCTCACGAGTATGACCTTTCTCCACAATAATTAATCTTTTCTTGCACATTCCATGCACCTGGGTATCCAAGGCCTTATGTGCACATGTATCTTTTTTCTTGTACTTTGAGCATTCAACAAAACTACTCATAACCAGTTGATGCATTGTATTACCTTGCAGATCCTGACATGGAATCTGTTGCATTATGGTCACAAGTCTACTCTAGGCCTTTTCTCCACTTGTAGCTTCTAGTTACCTCCTCCCGAGTCCATTCTTTCAAATGCCTTTCATGCATTATTATTCTCTATTTTTCTTAGCATTCTAGTAGTTATTTGTCTAACCATTTTTTTAAGCTTATTTACGTCAACCCATCGTGTGCTTACCTAATAGTGTTGTCGGGTAATCTTTACTACCACAGGGAGTGTGTGCTTCCAGGCAGAGAGGAAAAGCTCTTGAACATGCCTCTAACCAACCAGGTATCTGGTGCAACTTGCGAGTACAATTGTGTGCGAAGTATATAAAAGCATATGTTAACTAGATAATTGGGGAATTGTGTACTTTGTATGCACATGGAAATATCAGAACAAATCTTGATAATTAAGTATTTTATGTAACCAGACTATTTATTTTATTTATATATATTTATTTATTTTTGCTGTCATTTATATTTGAATTGTTACACAATTTATTGTATCAAATCTATTTTTTCCACGTATAATTTAATCTGATTAGGAACCAGCAAGACTTGGCCTGATATTTTGAGTTAGTCGGGCATGACCCCACATTTATGAACCAATTAGAAAAGCAACATAAAACTAGGATACATTCAGCCACGTGCTATCTGAACACCTTGGGACTGACTAAATTATTCAATTCTGACTAAATGGATAACATGTGTTTGGATAAGTGGTTAGTCATCCTGAAAAATTAGGGGAAAAAAATTGACAATTTTGTTGAAGTAGTTCAACAGTGTTTTGTTTGTACTTGACAATATATGTTTTAATCTGCTTGTTAACACTGCTCCATCAACTATAATCTTGGTTATTTAGACTGAAAAGGTGGTGGTGGATGATAATGTTAACAGTCCCCGTGGAGTAGTGGCAAGACACTTGCCTGGCGTTTCGCGAGCGCTTTGTCCTGGGTTTGTATCCTGGCCGTATTAGTATTTTCATATTAGGGGCCCGACAGCTAAGTGGACAGTGCTCAAGATTCGTAGTCCTGAGGTTCTGAGTTCGATTCCCGGTGGAGGCGGAAACAAATGGGCAGTTTCTTTCACCCTGATGCCCTGTTCACCTAGCAGTAAATAGGTACCTGGGAGTTAGACAGCTGCTATAGGCTGCTTCCTGAGGATGAGTAACAAGAAGGAGGCCTAGTCAAGGACCCGCCGCTGGGACGCTAAGCCCCGAAATCGAGATAACCTGGCCGGGGAGGATTTACTGGACACAGATCCTTAACTGTAGCCTCTAACCCAACAGTAAAATGGGTACCTGGTTGTTAAACGATTTGGTGAGGTCGTATTCTGGGGAATATTAGGATTAAGGACTTGCCCAAAATGCTATGCAAGCTAGTGGGTGTACAAGAATGCAAGAACTCTTGTATATACAAATACAAAATATTGCGTTGACTGAAGTGGAGCTTAAATGGTGATTAGGTTACCACAGCAGAATGCATTTCACCATGTACTCTAATGTACCTAATGCCATGGCAGAGTTGAAAACTTCTGAGCCATCCACTAGTGCATGAACACTAAGTGATGCTGTGTACCATCACTGGGCAAACTTGTTCCATCTTTCATGCACATTTTTACTCACACTGCCTGTCCCACCAGTTACCTGAACTTTTTTTTTATCAGAACAAACCCTAATTGGATAACGGGCATTTTTGGATAATAGGCATTCGTAAAGCACGTGGCCGACTATAAATGAAGCACAAAGCTATTGAAATTCAAGATGCAGATCCATGCAAAATTAAAGTGTGTTAAAGGAAAATGAAAATATCTTTGATGGCAGTGTGACAAATCAATTCTAATTTACAAATGAGTAGAATGGGGTGAGGAGGAAATGTGTGTTGTTACTGAATCAGAACATACAGTACTGTACTTAAACAAAAAATTTCACAATCTGTAAAACAGTATATGTTATGTGGGTTAATCTAATTTGTCTATTGTTGAGAATTCTTCAAAATGTATAGATGATTTATCATGTGAATAATGGCACAATACAATTTAAATTTATATATATATTTTTTGTACTGAATAATTGATTTCCTGCTAAGCATCAACATTAGAAAAATACAGTAGTCTAACTTATATAAAAGCAGCTTCAGTTACTGAACATATTTTATCTTCTACAGAATGTAGAATAAAAACAGAATTACTCATAATTGTGCTACTATCCTTTACTGTGAAGACTTTAAAAATTCAAGAAAAACCAACTTGCCAATTTACAGCCAACTGTTAAAGAGTGTATTTGTGTTACTATGTAATACACTGAACAAGACCAAACCTACAGTACGCATTCACCAAACCCTAGACAGAAGAACCAAATTTGCAGTAACTAAACCAGATTCTAGTAGATTACTACTCTTACCACCAACTGCATGCAGGTATTTAAATTCTAACAAATAAATATAATTAATTTATCTCTTATCCTGCTGTATAGCAAGATAACAAATTATTAAATTATACAGTATACTGTACTGTGTGCAGTATACAACTTCATATACTTCACTGGAAGTATTTCTTACAGTGAAGCCTAATAAACCAATTATATTTTCAAATGTGATTCTATAGCAACCTATTTAATTTAGGCACTGTATATCATACTGAATATAGTGTTTCTCCAAGTCTTAAAATATTATTTTATCAAGATTCATAGAGTAGATTACAATTATATAAATTAATACATCTTTCAAGGATTACCACCAAAATGACAAAGATGAAGCCTCTATTTATTATATGAAATTCTTAAAAAAAAAAAAAATATATTTTTTTTGTACAAGCACAATATTAATATATGTAACAGTTTTAGTAAAGTACTATAAAAATATCATGGAGAAAGCCATACATATGACATTCATAATATAAGGGATTTGTCGAGCAATGAAGAAATCTGCAAAAAAATAGAAAATCAAAATTCTTTTAGACCTTATATATGATGGGCAATATAGTTTCAGATTCCCCATTTCCAAACAATCTATTACACTATTGTATACATGGTTTATTTATTACTGAACTTTTGAATAAAAAAATTTAAGACTTATGGGTAAAGAAGTTTCCTAATTTGTTCTATAACCATAATAAAATAAATAGTACATGATTTTAATTTAAATCTGAAATGGGTTGTGAGCAAATTGCAAAAATATACAAGATCTACGCAAATAAAATTCAATAAATCTTACAGTGTATGTCAAATATAGACATAACTTCCTATTGTCAGTGACAAGCATTCACAAGCAGTAACAAAGTAAAGCACAAGTACAATATAAGCGAGTCAAAGCCATGCAAAGCACCCAAACATCATGCACCAAGAGCTTCCTCTACTTTAATTTTCTCAAAAGTTTTAACTTCATACACGACTACAATTATTTGAAATATGAGGGAGCCTACGCACAAAGATTTAAATATTTAATTAAGAATACTGTACATGTTCTGATACAACTAGTGATGTCCAGGACAGATAATAATCTAGAATCTTTATACATCTCCTTGGGATACTAGACGAGAATTTCTCCATGATGCCAATGCTACCACACTGTACAGTATGTACAGGTAAATGTTGCCTGTGAAATTTTCCAAAAAATATGAATAAACACAGAAGCATCAATGGCTGAATGCTGAAAATTACTTCTTAAAACTTTATATTTAAGCCCAATCCATGCAAAGTAGCATGCAAAGCTAGAGATGAATATTTGTATCCCAAGTGTTTGTCAAGAACGATGGACTCCTCAATGATGTCCTCAACTTCAATATCTTCGACACAGCTATTATCACTATCGGATAAAACTCGTCTGTTTAGTTTAGTATTTTCAACATGTCTAATACTTACTTTCTCTTCTACGTCTTCTTCCATCAAGTCTTCCACTATCTCATCTTCAGCATTTTCCAGGGTAAAATTATCCGAGTCACTATCAAGAATATGATACTCTAAATCAGACTCGGTGCTCAAAGTCCCGTGTGCACCAGCAACACGTGAGCTCTTAGATATGGAGGAGCCAATAGATACACTTTCTTTGTAAAGATTGTTTGGAAACGTTATTTCATAGGTGAACGTACCACAATTATTGCTGAAACTAGGTAGAGTCTTATTCTTATGCAAATAAGCGTCATGCAAGCCAGCCAAAGCAGATGTTATTTCACCCTTTACCTCATCGTCGTCATCTGCTAGTACATTGACTTGGGTCTGCTCTACAGGTTGGTCCTTCAACCGCTGAGTCATTTTGTATGCTGCCTGTCGTTTTGCGAGCTTCTTACTTTTACCGGTACCTGTTGAAATAATAATTAAATACCATTATGTAATCATATTATTTATAGCTAGAGCACAAAATACAAGACTATACTATTAGACCAAATAATTTGCATACCTACCAATTTCTTTTGTATTGCCGATGGTGCAAGCAATGGAGAAAGTTCGCTCATGAGGGAAACCCTCCTCCGAGGTAAGATCATAAGTGGGAGGGGGCCACCGACGCGCCATGCACAGCTCCTGTAATTTAACATTTAATTATAAAACTGAAGTGCAGGATTTAATTATTCATTGCAATGTTGAAAAAGCTTTCCTTAAACAAAAATTATCTTAAAAGGAAGTCTTGTCTAGCCTAACATTAGCTAGGTAATAATAATGTAAATACAATGTTATTTGTTAGTGAGGCCCATACTTTACATTTTTCTAGCCATATCATTCATAAATATTGTTCTATCCCACACACTCCAGAAATTAAACAGGGCTTTATAGAATATATGGAAATGCTTATTAATATAAAGACAATTTCTGTAAAATGCAAATTTTGCTAACCTGCAAGGATCCAACTGGGTTCCCTGGGATACCATCATCATATGGTGAAACAATCTGAGTGGATCTGAAACGGTAAAAAAAAAAAAAAATATATTATGCTACTATGTATAATGTATAATTTCAGCAAAATTTCCTTCCTAAACATTTTATGGTATAAACAGCGATACTTTTGATTAGTGCCATCACGTGAGAAGTCTTAAATTATCTATATACAGTATTTCATCTCTTCTGCACTGACCAACTCTGTAAAACTCAAAGTAATGCATCACCTCAGCAGCAGCCCATCTTTTCATCCCCTTCACTACCGATCGTTTCACACATAGCAATACTAAAAATCAAAACAGTTTCCTATGAAGTTTTTCCTTGCAAGTTGAGTACTGTATTACCTAATGTATTAGGCAACAGTACTAGGCATGAAGCACCAATCAACATAGAAAAAAAAGCAAGGAACCACAACCACGAAGAGAAATAATGAAGTGAAAGAAGCAACAGGACACTTCACACCGTTGGCGTCTCGCTTGCATCTTTCGTCGGGCAACAAATCGGCCACCTGCGCATCATACAAATAATGGTAGACCTGCATCAGATCTAAGTATCAAACTCCAGACACAGATCGGAGGACGAGGTTGAACATGCAAGGTACAGTATGTCACCGGGCCAGATCTGCTGAAAGAGGTGGAGTCAAACAAGTGTCCTGGTTCAGATAACAAGCCAGAAGAGCCAGAAACCAAGATTGAGTGAGCCACATATGGGAGAGAAGGGCTACCTGGTCCTAATATGCTTCCAACATGAACAGCACCCAGAGCATCAACTAAACTGAGGCAAAGAGGTAAATGAACCCCAATAAGAGCCTCATGATCAAGAAACGGCTAGATAGGAGGGAAGCTGCTAGTTCCACGTCAACACAAAGAGGATCACCTCTGGGTGACCAAACGTTTTGCAGAACCAACACAAGGCAAGCCAAACCCTGAGAAGCCAGAAGCCAAGCTCCCCAAAGCGTGCAGTCACAAAGATGGACCGACTGAAGCGACCCCCGCATTTCAGTGAATGAACCACAGGAAAGCAGTTGGAATGGAGCCAGAGGATGGAGCCTGGAATATGAACCCTCTGTAAAGCCTGCCACACTGACCCTGGGAAGCCTGGTGTGCACTGGTCAAATCTCCATCCCAGAGCTAAAGCATTAGAAAACACGTCAAGTAGCGTGGGAGGATGGTGCCATGAAACCCAAACCTGAACAGAGGAAGCCGGCAGAGCAAGAGTTGGTGAGGTGCGTGCAGAACCTGAACCCAACAGTAATGATGGTGAAAGGGGCACAACTAGAGGAAGAAATACAACACCTAGAGAAAAAAAACATGCCCAGGAAAATACTATGCAGGCAAAGTTTGCCACAAGAAAAAAAAAAATACAAATTTTCCCATAAGAAATAAAGGGAATTGAATTCATTCATTCCCCACCCTCCAAAATATTAACATACAAATACATTTTATACTGAATACAATGTTTTTTTCTAACTACAATGCAGTACCTAAGTTTATCTTACCTTTATGGAGGGCTCTTGACGGTGTATAGAAGATGGTGATGAGGGGGGAGGAGGAGAGTTGTTACTGTTTAAAAGGGGAGTCCCCATCCAAACAGGTTTACATCAGGCAGTGCTATTTTCTCTGGAGTACTCTCTCTCCTACATTTTGCCTGAATACCACTAGGACCTGGTTGTAGTTCAGTGCTTGTTTGTCTCACTACAAATTTGTCAAGAGACATTTGTTTTTCCCTTCATTTTAACATTTGTCTGTAATGATGCATCACTTTAGCACCCATAATGTCCTTCTTCTTAGCCAGTATGGTGGATATCATTGACAGATTTGTTGTACTGCCTAGCCAGTTCAACAACCCGCACACCATCTTCATATTTACAAATGATCTCTTGTTTCTGCTCTATGGTCATTCTTACATGGGATCTCATATGTTGAGCCTTACCACTGACTTTCCTGGGACTCATGGTGTGATATATAATAATTACTTTAATGTTCAAAATGCAAAAAATCACCACAAACGCAGAATTTCTTATAGGCGCTATCATCACTAAGCGGGCAGCTGTAGAAAACTGAGGCAGGTCGGACCCCGTGACCGGGAATCACGCACTCGGTCAACCCGAACGTGTACCAACAAATATCGGAAGTCGACGACACCATCAGATGTCGAGTCGCATTTTTCTATGAAATTTACATCGTAACTCGAAATTTTCGTAAGTAGGGGCAATCGTAAGTGGAGGTGCCACTGTACATACATTCTCCCAACTCGATCATATTTACCAGAAAAAACTCGAGCCCATATATGCCACAAACTTACAAGAACACGCAAGCTATATTTAACAACAAAAACTCTTCCCCTATGAAAGAATTGAACCATGGCTAGTCATGGCTAGCTAGCCTAGGGTAACCAATACCCTAACCGATACACCATAGTAGATCGTGTAATTACCTAAGTGTAGTTACAGGATGAGTTATGCTTGGGGTGTCCTGTCTTCCCAGCACACTGTCATAGAATGCTTCGAAACTACTGACGGTTTTGACCTCTACCACCTTCTCACCCAACTTGTTCCAACCGCCCACCACTCTGTTTGCGAACGTGAATGTTCTTATATTTCTTTGGCATTTTTATTTAGTTAGTTTAAATCTATGACGTCTTGTTCAAAAGTTCCAGGTCTCAAGAAATCTTCCTTATCAATTTTATGAATTCCTGTTACTATTTTGTACGTAGTGATTATACAGTATTGCCTCTTTCTTCTAGCTTCTAGTTTTGGCATATTTAATGCCGCTAACCTCTCCTCATAGCTCTTGTCCTTCAGTTCTGGGAGTCACTTAGTGGCATGTCTTTGCACCTTTTCCAGTTTGTTGATGTGCTTCTTTAGATATGGGCACCATACAACTGCTGCATATTCCCAGCTTTGGTCTAACAAAAGTTGTGAACAATTTCTTTAGTATTTTGTCATCCATATATTTAAAAGCAATTCTGAAGTTAGAAAGTGTAGGATAGGCCCGTGTGTGTGTGTGGGGGGGGGGGGTTGCACTGTGAATTTGCAGAACATGTAGTTTGTGAGTAAAGTACTTACAGCTCAGGTGGTGCTCCAGGTGATCCACCAGCTGTAGGGCCTCCAGCTCCAGCTGCACCACCCTGGATGATGATGTCCAGTACTGCTTTGGCTGCAGCATGTTTTGCTTTCTTCTTGCTCTGTCCGGATCCATTAGCTAAAAGCCAACATAAACTGATCAGTAAGCAACATCACATTTGAATATAAGTCTGAATATACAATAAATATACAGTACTACAGTAAACTATGAATAAGAAACCAGCATTGAATGTAATTAAGTGCCAATTTGTACGCGAGCCCTTATGGCTCCCTGAAGCTACTATCGCTAATAGTGTACCACTACTTAAGTCACATCAGTTGCAGAGTTCTGTCGGCCTACTGGGAACCAGAGCCAGAATGGAGCCCCCTTCTAAAGAGCCACAGGGAACGGCGACATTTATGTAGTTATTTACGTCACCACAGGGAAAAAAATTAAAATCAGACAAAACAGACCACTGCTGGCTTCAAAAGAGACCAGTCTCTAAAACCACAGAAAGAACTTCCCTCAGTAAACCACTGCAAGAATTCCCCTACCTATGCAAACAAGCAATTGAAATCTTTCCAAACTAATGCAAGCTCATTTGCCCAACCTCCTGAATTCGTTTGGGGGGGGGGGGAGGGCAGCTCCCACACCACCCTTAGTTCTATGGTAGATGTAACTGACGACCTGGAGGGAGGGAGGGTGTTGGGAAGCCACCGGGCCTCACCCAGAAACTGGAGTTTCTTTGAATGTAAAGAAATGCCCTCAGCTTCAGTAAAGGGCATGTGTACAGCCCTTTATTTGTACATCCTCCCTTCCAAGCTAGTGGGGGAATGGCGCAAACAATTTTGCACTGGTTTGGAGAGATTTTGATAGTTTGTTTAAACGAGAGAGCTCTTTTGGTGGTTTTAGAGGCTGTGGTCTCTACTGAAGCCAGCAGTGGTCTGTTTTACCTCGCTGACTTTCTGGTCATTTCTTCCCCCCCCCTCCCCCCACCGTGTTGACAAACACAAAATGTCACCGCTCCCTGCGCCTCTTTAGAGGGGTCCAGGTTCTGGCTCTGGTCCCTGGTACGCTGATAGAACTCCGCACCTGATGCGACTTCGGTAGTGGTACACCATCAGAAAGAGTAGCCACACAGGGCTCCCACCAAAAAAATTATAAATTGAGAAATCAAAATTCAAAATGAGCCTAACTTTAATAATGACGCAGCAACTTTCAAAACTTGATTATCGTAAGTATAGGCATTTGTATACATACCAGCAAACTCTCCAACCGTGACTCTGTAAACAAAAGTTGGTTCATGTACAGCACCCTCTATCTGCAACAAGTCGTATTTTGGAGAGATTCCACGTCTCATACACAATTCTTGAAGAAGTGACACAGGTGTTTTGGATGGAAGAGCTCCTGGCATTCCCTAAATATAACAAATAATTTAGTTTTACATTCACACTCAGTATGTTTATTATATATATATATATATAATAAATTCAATTTAACCAACAAGACATACAGAGTGGTTCATGCAACAAAAATATTCCAAAAATACTTCACTAATATCGTACCTCAATTGAGGTGGATGAGTCAACATTCGGTGGTGGTTGATGATACATTTTTGCTTAAATTTGAAAAAAAAAGTCTAAGATGATGGTGGAGCTGTGCGTGGAATAATAACTATGGCGCGTGTCACCGCAGGGAGGTCCTCACAAGAGACGGGGGAACATGCCACACTTCGACACTCTTCTTGGACTTTATGCAGCCCTCCAGCCCACCTAACTTTTAAAGAAAGAAAACAAAAATAGGAGTTGATATACTATTCACATTCATACAATTCCAGTCCTTCCCACTAGATGAACTAGCAATATATTTAGCATCTTTACAGAAAATACTGTATATGATTATACTTTTTTTTTAGCTTCAACTCTTTGCCCTTCACTACAATTATACCCAAAAATTAGCAGGAATGAGGAAAAGATCATTGACCTCAAGTACTTCTTCCACTAGGTAAGTGGCAATATACTACTTGTAAAAAATAGGCAATACATTATAGCATGGAATAAAATGGAGAAAATAATGCATCAGAGAAAGTCCCCTTCATGAGATAACTATGGCTAATGGATTTGAATGGAATGGTTCGTTAGGCAAGGAAACAAATTAGATGTACACTATGTTAATTTTTGCTAGAAGGTACAAATATTTATACAGAAGCCATGATGTAAATACTGTATAGAAAACAGGACTGGTGATACGGCAAGAGGGCCAAAGAGCAAAAAATAAAATACCAGCGTTGAATGTAATGAAACGCCAATTTCTGGCGAGCTCTGGAAGCTCCATGGAAGCTATCGCCAATACAATACTAGGGGGCATCAGCCATGGAATGCTTATTGACCTTCTGGGGACCACGAGTCATAACCTGCCCCCTCCCCATCCACCCAGAGAGGGGGAAGAGAGCAATGGCCTATCAACATTTAAAGTTAATCATGTCTGCCACCACCAGGGAAGCATCCAGAAAATCAGTGAAACAAAACGACTACTGCATGGTTAGTACGAGACTGCAACCTCAAAAAATACCAAAATGATACCTCCCCCATTAATGAGATCAACCAAAATTGTGAAACTAGTGTGAGCTAGTTTGCCCTACCTCACCCTTGTTTGGGGGGAAAGGAGGCAGACTGGGTCAGCTGGCTTGCTCCACCCTCACTTCTTATGATGATGAAAGATGCCAATGCCCTGAGGAAGGGAGGGTGTCAGGAGGCCTCCGGGGTCCATCCAGAAATTGGAATTTCATTATATTCAATGCTGGTTTTCTGGGGAAGCCCCTTAATGCTTCCTAAACCTAACTACCCACAGACGAGGACAAAAAGGCACTCACCAGGGAGGAGGCAGCACAGCAAAGAGGAGACTCCCCATCCCCCGGTTGAGACAATGAACCAAAGGGGTAGCAGTCTCCATGGAGCCAGACCAGTGAGCCCTGAGGAACCCAAATACCCCGCAGGACCACAACATGGCACAAAACGTTGTTTGGGTAATGTTGTGGTGCAAGCTCCTGCAACGTGCTGTGTGCCCGACGCATACTGATGCTAACGCACCCAGGGAAAGGCTTCAAAAGGAGGGAGTCTGCTGGGGCGACTCGGCGGAAGACGGACTCAACCACCTCTGTACCTGTTTCAGAAGGGGCAGCCCCTGAATCCACCCGAGCTTCACCCCGGGTGAAACCCCACCCGGACTCCGAAACCTGATGGGTAGGAGCCGGAGGCAGGTGGGGAGGAGTAGGGCTAACCATGTCCACCTGGAAAGGAAGAGGAGGTGCCGACTGATCCCAGGCTGAAATGACCTACGCCACCAAAATGAGACCCCAAAAACAAAGCGGGGCAGCTCCGGGGGTTCTAAACGGGCAACCAACCTGACCCATTGCAAGAGAAACTGTGCATGCAACAGGGCCGCTGCCTGATCCCTCTGTACAATAGAGAAGGGAGTACGAAGTGGAGCAAAGCTGGGAACAAGACCCACAGGACACCGGGACAAAGGTGCCACACAACTCAACGGGCAGCAAGGCGGATTTAGAATGAATGATCAACTCCCCGAGGAAGGAGCAATGAACTGACAAAATCGCACAAAGCGCAAGTGAGCTTTGAAGAAGTAACCATGGTGTGACCAAGTGAGCCAGCCAAATCAGTAAAACCCGTCTGTAGCAGGCAAACTGACAGCCGGTAGCAGTCGTGAAACCTCCGGGGCAACCGAGAATGACCACAACCTAGGCTAATCCTAATACGGAGCTAGCTAAGCAGACCACCTCAGCAACAACAGGCAAAAATGCCAAAATGAAAACATATGAAAAAAAAAAACTCACAACAAGCAAACAAGCAGCAAGAAACATCAGCTGCTGTGTAATAGTAATGCAGGCTGCACCAGCTGCAGTACGGCCCCCTCAGTAACAAACGCCCCCAACCTGGAGCAAGACAGAATTCCCAAACTCCCCAGGAAAGATAACACTGACCACGCAAGGGCAGTACAGTACTCATGGAGCATCTAGGGAAGGGTACCCTAGACGCATGCAGTTCCCGGTAGGCAACAGGAATTCTGCAACTGATGACCCCAACATTGTATCTAAGCATGAAGAACTATCTTCAGAAGGATATAGTTGGTCTGGAGAAAGTGCAACACTGGGCAACAAATATCATTCCAGAGCCAAGTCACTCACATATGAGGAACAGACGAGGGCCACAGGGCTAACAACACTGCAAACCAGGCATGACAGGGCAGATCACATTTAAACTTATAAAATACTGAACAAGTTGGAGGATGTTGATCCAGAAAATTTCTTCAAAAGGTCAGATAAGAACACAAGAACAAGGGTAACTGCAGAATGCCTATTGGCCCATACGAGGCAGCTCCTATTTATAACCACCCAATCCCACTCATATACATGTCCAACCAACGCTTGAACCAATTGAGGGACCCCACCTCCACTACATTTCGCGGTAATTGGTTCCACAAATCAACAACCCTGTTGCCGAACCAGTATTTACCCAAGTATTTCCTAAATCTAAACTTATCCAATTTATACCCATTGTTTCGTGTTCTGTCTCGTGTTGATACTTTTAATACCCTATTAATATCCCCTTTGTTATGTCCATTCATCCACTTGTAAATCTCTATCATGTCACTCCTAACTCTTCATCTTTCCAGTGAAAGCAATTTAAGCTTTGTTAATCTTTCTTCATATGAAAGATTTCTAATTTGGGGAATTAAGTTTGTCATCCTACGCTGGTCACGTTCAAGTGAATTTATATGCATTCTATAATACGGCAACCAGAACTGAACTGCATAATCTAAATGGGGCCTAACCAGAGCAAGATATAGCTGAAGAACAACACCAGGTGTCTTGTTACTAACGCTTCGATTAATAAATCCCAGTGTCCTATTTGCCTTATTACGAACATTCATGCATTGATTCTTTGGTTTTAAATTCTTACTAATCATAACTCCCATTTTGCAATCCGACTTCGCAATCTCAACACCATCTAGCTCGTATCTTGTAACTATCATCATTACTTAGCCTCAAAACTTTACATTTATCAGCATTAAACTGCATCTGCCAATCTTTTGACCACTTCAAAACCCTATTTAGATCAACTTGAAGTGATAGCGAGTCTTCCGTGTTAATTTCCCTAACAATTTTTGTATCATCGGCAAATTTGCAAATGTTGCTACTCGAACCTGAATCTAAATCATTTATATATATTATAAACAACAGAGGTCCCAGAACAGAGCCTTGAGGCACTCCACTAACATTATCCCACTCTGACTTAACCCCATTTATACTAACTCTTTGTTTCCTTTGGTATAGTCATGCCCTAATCAAACAATATAGCACCCCCAATAATATGTGCCTCTAATTTTTGATTCAGTCTTTCATGTGGCACTGTATCAAAAGCTTTGCTAAAGTAAAGGTACACAACATCACAATCCTTACCACTATCAACTGCCTCAACAGATGTAACACAAACAAGAAGCAACGGTTTCAAGCTCAACAAGCCCCAATGTTATATATTATGGTATATGTAGGACTGAGAACAGGAGATGCTTCTCCTGTTCAGAACAGGCTGGATGCCTTGTTTCTGCTAAGTATTGAGGCAGTGTTACATCACATTACTTTTGATGATATGATCAAAGATTTTGCAATTAAAAAATGGAGAAAACTTTTAGTAGTACAAGTAAAGTTATAAGAATGCAACAGTAAATATTATTGTGCTTCTTTGATTCATGTAGGTTAAAATGCTATACAGTATATCTTCAGAGCATAAAAGCAATGGCATAAGTGTTTTGTTTCATACCAATAATGATGCAGTATTTATCCATTAGAATGCGGGTCGCTCCAAGCAACAGCCTGTTGGACCAAGTTATCACAAGTCGAGCCAGGCCTCAGGTCAGGCTCGGGAAATAGAAGAACTCCCAGAAACCTCTCCAAGTAAACTTCAGGTATGCTCCAGGTATTTTACAGTTTACTATTATTTTTGTCTTGAATTGACTGATAAAGATCAAGCCATTCAAAAGGTGGCACGGGCATGAATAGCTTGTAATGTTTCAAATTACATACATACAGTATATGGGAGTACTGTACCATAATGTGTTCTGTGTTTGGGGCCTCAAGTTTTAATCAGGCCCTAAGAGTAGCAATAAGTGACAAACTAGAAATATAGATTATACAATTTTGTACAAACATTTCAAGATAATGCTAACCATATATACGAGTTTTACTACCGATTCGTGTGTGATAGAGGCGAGGAGCACAGCACCCAACACCTGAGTATACATGACCGAGCCTCTCGCACACACACAGTCAACCATGTACAAGTTCTTCAAGACGTGGAGGCTGGTCGAGGCTGACTTGTCTGTCACTCCGTCAAGGAGGAGGTGTCACCCGGAGCTGTCACACACCCCGGCTCCCCTTCCCACACTACTGTCACGCCCAGTCCACCTGCCTCCCAGGGACACGTGACAGTAAGGTATATGGGAGAGGAAGGTAGGGGCGGGAGGACGCCGGCCGGCATGGGAGGCGGGCCAGCTGATGTGTGGCCCCACGCAAACATGCATCTTGCCAGCCATTGATTGCCAGCCATTGATCCACACCACACCAACACTACACTCTTCACCTCATTTTACACACCGTTCCACTACTTTCTTTGCATTTCATCTCCTTCGTGGGTAGTGCAGACATTCCTGCTTAAACTAAAGCACTTTTTAATTCACAGAGCTGCTTCTTTTATATTAATTTACCTCCTAAATGAGCGGCCTTGTGAAGTTCGCTCCCTTCGCTTGTGTGCTCCTGCCTCAGTGCGCAGGCGCAGGGCGGGCTCTCATGGCGCCACCTTCAACGGTGGCCTCCTGCTCCTGCTGCTCTCCTGTGTCTACACCTTCACCTGCACCGGCGGCTGCTGCTCACCTGTCTCCACACCTTGATCTACACCCGCCGCCAGGGCTATACTGCCCCTTACACCCTGCAACCACCCAACACCCATTATATCTAGGGGGTAGAAATAGTCTAAGCTATTCCTTTGAGATGTATTTTTTCTTGTCTCAGTAAACATACTTCAACTTTAACTTGAACCCATTATACCATTTCTTCATTCCGTCTCGGAGGAAATTATAACTGACGATAAAAATAGCAGCCAACACTGAATGAATAGTTTTTACCTGAGAGTACCTGAGTGCCACTGAGCGTTTACCTGAGAGCCACTAACACTAGTGGTCTCGTCGAGGACACGAAGCCGGTGGCTTGTCGAAGGTCCCCCACATTTGCCTTGATCTTTTCCAGCTGTACTTGCCCGTAACCTGCCCAAACGCTATGTTAGTGGCTTTGCATGACTGTGTTGCGAGTAAATTATGCAAACAAGTTACTCACTCCAAACTCATTAGCTAAATGAGAGAAGCAAACCTCTCATTAGCACTAATGGCATCAATTAAATCTTTTCCATAATTACAGGTAAGATTCCTTCCATCCTATTGAAGGAAGTTGAGGTGTAGTCCAATAATATAAGCAATCAAGAAGGCAGTAATCATCTTACGGGTGTAGCAAGTAAACCTTATACTCGCTTAAATCTCTCATTACCTTAATGACAAACTAATTAGCACTAATTATGTCTACTCAAACCCCTTCCCTAATTACAGGTAACATTCTTTCCATCCTGTTGGAGGAAGCTGAGGTGTATTCACCAAATATAAGTGGGAAGTGAATAGCCACAGGACATAGACGGGAGACATCTCCTGTCCACGAGGCTAACCATAGCCCGTGCTTCTTGCCCCGCTCCTGTGCCAGGTAAGTTACGGGCTCACCATAGCCCGTGCTACTTGGAACTTAAATTTTGTTTAAATTTTGCCCCGAGGGGCGAGTTTATTGGGCAGCGGCACTCATCTTGTGAGTGGACACACCGCCATAGCAGCATGTACAACACTCCCCAATAGGAAGAAAACCTGCTGGGTTGTTCATCCTGTCACTTGTACCCAGACACAGCTGGGACTTGCTTAACTGTCTCAAGTGAACAGCTCCTCAAACAAGAAGATTAACATCTAGCAACCCTTAAAAGCTTACGTTATCTTGCGGGTGCAAAATGGGGAAATCTTTTAAGAACAGCATCAATATTTGACAAATAGTGTTTTCCTAACTCAAACAATGTGGGGGTTTATTATTCTACACATATTTCTGATATCTCTCAGGTGTTCACATTCACGTAGATAGTGGTCAAGGCGGTGTCCGTCACTCTCCCCACAGATTCTGCAACTTCGCTGATCAACTGTTGTTTCCATTCCATACCTCCAAGGATATTTGTATCCAAGACGGATTCTTGTTATTACTGATTCCCTCCCTCGTCCTCCTCCTCTTCGGCCATAACGATTGGGATTGCCAGCTGCAACCATGTTGTACCATCGTATAGATTCACTAGTTTGTGCTTCTATCCTCCTTTCCTCAGTTACCTTGTCACGGTGATGTTGCCTGACAATACCTCTAATTTGTAGTAGAGTCTTGGGTATGAAGTATTCAATATGGTCTCCTTCAGCGCCTTCAGCAGCCAGCACATCTGCTCGTTCATTTCCACATATTCCAACATGGGAGGGGATCCACAGAAACTTGATGACTCTTCCCTGATTGGTAAGTACTCTCACAGCTCTCTTAATTTCAGCGACTATTGCAAGATTTTCTGCCCGATTTTTACTTAGGCTTTGCAGTGCTGCTTTTGAATCGGTGCAAATCACTGCACCATTAGTGTTCCGTTCAAGAAACCTTAACGCGATAACAATGGCAGTTAGCTCTGCTTGCGTTGAAGAGGCATAGTTCTCAATACGTGCTTTTTCTTCATTTCTGCGTTGGAAAGTATTATCCTTGATTACCGTGTATGCTGCACCAGCCCTGCCATTGACAGGATTAGATGACCCGTCAGTGTAGATTTGATCTAGTTCATCTCCGGCTTCTTTATAAATTTCCTCGAGATACTTGTGCCTCATTTCTTGTGGTATCATGTTGGATTTTTTCGTTGCCATTTCATTGAAAAAATCCAACATGATACCACAAGAAATGAGGCACAAGCTTGGAACTTGTTCCGAGTAACTGAATCTATAACAACAACAACAGCCACAAGGACTACGGGCTCACCATAGCCCGTGCTACTTGGAACTTGTTCCGAGTAGCTGAATCTATAACAACAACAACAGCCACAGGACTACGGGCTCACCATAGCCCGTGCTACATGGACACTTCGTCCTGAGTAGCTAAATCTTTAACAACAACAACAACAGCCACAGGACGGGAGACATCTCCCGTCACACAAGGTGCAGTCGCACCTCCACAGATCTCCAGTATCAGCTCCTGATACTGGTAATGGCTCAAAAGGGCCACCACTTACGGGCTATTCATCCCCGTGCCACCTTTTGGGTGGCTTAATCTTCATCAATCAATCAATCGAATAGCCACAACTTACGTGCTATTCAATCCCCCCATGCCACCTCTTGGGTGGCTTAATCTTTATCAATCAATCATCGAATAGCCACAGTTACAGCCCCACTCCTGTGTCAGGTGAGTCCACTACGGGCTCACCATAGCTCGTGCTACTTGGATTTTTTTTGTTTCCAGTAACTGAATCTTAAACAACAACAATGAATAGCCAACAGTAAAATTTCCACAGTGATTCGGATAACTTCAGTACAGACGCATTTTGGATTTATCACATCTCTTCAACCTCAAGAATGTAGCACTGTGTACAGTTCTAAACGACCCCAAGACACTACAGCTTCAACACAGAGCAGACAGTAGACTACGACCGCATTGAGCTACAACACTCTCGCTCTCCATCGAGTTTAGACCCTCACGATTCCCCGTCGAGCCACCACGCTCTCCTGCATCCGCATCTCTCCGCGACCTTCAGTTGCAAGAATCCCACATTGTGGAATGACTTGCTAAATGTAATTAAAAGCTGTACGTCTCACAACCAGTTTAAAAGTGAGACTAAAAAATATTTACTTAAAATCGTGTAATTAATATCTTATAATCAATACCATGTAACTAATTTAACTCACATTTCCCCCCGTATTAAGCTATTTTTGTGTTACTCTTTATCTTAAATTTTTTTACTAAGAATTATGTCCTTTCTTCATCGTGTCTTCTAATTCTTGCATTTCTTTGATAAAGTCCCTTATGATCCTTGTCTGTTTTCGAGTGTTGGCCTCATTAAACTTAAATTATACTATATTACTCTAAAAAATGTAAAAAAAACTCTGTTATGTTATGTAAATTAATCTAAGTAGTACAGTCGGGTTTGTTCTCGACTCACAACTAGGAATCCCAGGTTAAAATCCCCGGGCGGGATAGAAATGGTTTGGGTCGTTTCGTGTCACTTAATGCCGCTGTTCACCTAGCAGTAAATAGGTACCCAGGAGTTAATCAGCTTTTTGTGGGGTTTCATCCTGTGGAGGGTCAGTAGTTCAACGCTGGGGCAATGGGAACTTGATGTAAGCCTAAAATTTATATATACACTGGCTGCTTGTCCCTCTAAACTATAAATTACTATCGAGTTAAGTTTTTGCTATCACAGAAAACGTACATCCAAAATTAGGTTAGTAAACGCTGTATTTTATAAACAAACTTCAGCCAGGTGACGCATCATCATGAACAACGACGTAGAAATAAACGACGGTGACGCAGAAAATATACCAAGTGATGCCCAAAAGCCAGAAAAGATGTTTACTTTGAAGAAATGGAATGCCGTGGCCATGTGGAGTTGGGACGTTGAGTGCGATACCTGTGCAATCTGCAGAGTGCAAGTTATGGGTAGGTGCCATTTGTTGTAGACGGATTTTTCACGGGAACTTTGGACGCTTTATTTATTTTATGCACATGGCATCAGATGTGAATAATTAGCTGAATTAGTGGTTCAAGTGTTAAGAGAAGCCAACGTGAGCAGAGTTTAGTTTTTTATTGTTGTGATAATTGCCATTGTCATCACTAAAACCCTCACAGTACAAGTCATTATTTACATTTGAGGTTCTAAATATCATGTGAATACAATGTAAACAAAGGTACCTTTGACAAGCCGCCGGTTTCCTTGTTCTCATCAAGGCCAATTGAGGTGATGACTCTCAGGTAAATTGAAACAAGATTAGCTATTTGCATATGGGTGGTTGTGTCAGTGTTGAATGGTTTTTGTTTTTGTATTGAATTGTTTTGTATTTTTTTTTTGTATTTGCTCCCTTGACTCCATGTATGATTAATCATCCTGTGAGATGGGAATACTAGATGAACTTACAGCTAGTTTTTGACCTACGCTGTGTAATCTTTCATATAGAATAGGGTAGCAGCACATTGATGTGTATACCTAAGCTTATTTAAAAAAAAAGTTGTGTAACACTGTTTTTATTTTATTTTACTTACAAGAAGATACATTTGGTTGTGAGAGTATATAACATTTGTGTTTAAGCATTATATTCTTCCAAAGCCACTAACACACAAAGCATTTTGGGCAGGGTCTGAATTTAACTAATAAAAGTAAAAGTGACAATAGGCACATTGTGGCAGAATTTGAGTTCAGCAGCATAACTACAATATATATTGATAGCATTGATTATACTGGTGAAATTGCATGTCTGAAGTGCTAAAATTAGATGAGCTGGTAGCACAAGATACAGTGTGAGCTCGGAGCATGAGGTATTAAACTATGAAGATGGACCAGGAGGTTGGAGGTAGCTGATAGGTGACCATGGCATGATAGCATCATGGTCAAATTTCAAGGTCATTACTGTGCTTGTTAAAAAATATGTGCCAAAAGAGGAGAAAGAAAAGAAAGGGAACTAGCTGGATGACACAGGTAGTAAAAATAGCATTGATAACTAAGCGAACCCTCTGGAGAAGGTATAAATCCACGATGAACATCATTGATTATGAGATATATAAAATAGCACTCAACTCAGCCACCCAGGAAATCAGATCAACAAAAAGAAACTATACGTGAAAACTTGCTCAAAACATAAAGAAAGATCTAAAGTTGTTCTATGCCTATTAAGAAGTAAAACCAAAACAAAGGACTCAGTAAGACTCTTAAAAGATAAGACTAACCAAATTATAATAGATGATAAAAGGGCAACAAACACAATGAATACTTTACATGAGTGTTCACACTTGAAAGATTAATTGACATCTCATCGCTCACATAAATGTTTGAAGGAGGTGAATAGAATGAATTAAGGGATATTCCCATAAAGTGCAATATTATCAAGAAAAGCATTGACAAACTAAAAGACTCAAAAGCCCCAAGTTGGGATGGAATTCAATCCAAAGTAAAAAGGGAACTAGCAGAGGAACTATGCCTACTGCTGAAACTTCTTTTCAGAAAATCTCTGAACCAAAGGGATAATACCCATAGATTGGATATATATAAATGTGACCCCTATTTAAAAAAAAAGCAGAAAACTACTGTCTGATCAGCTTGACATCACACATCTGCAAGCTCATGAAGAGAATCATAAGGGAAGGAATCACTCATCATCTCACAGTAAATAATCTTGTAAAATCAACATAACAATGGTTTGTTAAAAATAGATCCTGCCTTACAAACCTGCTCACATTTTTGGAAATGGTAACCAGGTACTCAGACAAAGGACTTCCGGTGGATGTAGTATACAGTAATGCCACTGATCCCTGCCCCTCTCTAAGGGGGGCCAAATTCTGGCTTGTGGTCCCTGATAGGCCAATAAGAATTCTGCGACTGATGGCACCTAGTAGTTTGGCACTACAGTATATCAGTATAGTAGCTTCAGGAAGCCACCTGGGCTCAACCAGAAACTAGTGTTTTCAATTCGTTCAATGCTGTTTTTTTTTTTGTTTTCTTACTTTTGAATAAAGTATTGGTTGGACAATTTTTTAATTCATTAGGGGAGTGAATTTCATACACTGGGTCCTTTTATTTGCATGAAATGTTTGTACAGATTTAGTGTGACTCTAGGAATATCAGATATTTATTTTTGGTGTGGTGCTCATGAGTTCTATTACATCTATGAAAGAAGTTTAAAATCAGGATTAGAATCAAGGAATAAGATTTTTAAGTGTAAATAGCACAAGAGAATGTGGAGCGAGTGTATGTTTAGTATGTTTAGGGATTTAAATAGAGGGAATGTGTGTTATCTGAAGACAGAATTTGTTATTGAGGAAATGTACATTCACAGTATTCATTTCGATCACTGATAACACTAGTGCAAGTGAAGTTATCTTGATAATAGATAGCTGTACCCCCTCCCACCCTCTCCTTTTAGTCTGGCTTGCAGTTGTTAATGGCTTATAATGCCATTCACAACTGAAGGCCTGGCAATTGCTTATAATACTTAAGAATTAACCAAAAAGGGAAAATGGATTCTTTAATTTTCTACACTATTAAGGTCTTGTTTTCTCAGATGCTTGCCTACGGTGCCAAGGAGAAAACAAACAAGACGACTGTGTGGTGATCTGGGGAGAGTGCAACCACTCTTTCCACAACTGTTGTATGAGTTTGTGGGTAAAACAGAATAACCGCTGCCCTCTGTGTCAACAAGAGTGGTCTGTACAGCGAGTTGGTAAATAGTCCCTTCATAATATGAAATATTCTACTGTAAATCTTTTTTATTAATCATAATTTTAATAAATCTAAGCTGGATTTCATTACTGCAAGTAAAAATATACCTGTACTTGTACTGTATATCTATATTCTCACTAGTATTTCAATACCTGTACAGAATATTAAACTATATTTGAACTATTAATTTTATTAATAGTTTATTGTGCAAAGAATTGTGTTAATGACATGCTGTTTTGTAAGCATACAAGATGATGCCAAATCATTTTTGTGTGTGTAAAACTTACCCATGGTTGAAAATTAATGATGAACATTGTGTCATCACCATATAGGTCATTATTGTCACTATATAGGTCATTATTGTCACTTATCTAAAAGAAAATGCTAAAGTATTTATTAGTTCAGTAATAAATTGTTACGTCTTGCACTTATGATATTATATCCACTCTATTGAAGTTAAATGTAAACAAAATTAAGTGCATCTACAGGAGAATGACAAACTTGTATTTCAAAAAATAAAGCTATATAAAAAGTCAACAGTTTGAATAGTTTTACCCTGCACAGCATTATGCTTAGTATAAGGATACTAGACAATTCAAATGATAAGTAAATTAATGGTAGTAAAACCAGGGTAATATAGTGTAAAAGGTCAACTCAACCCTTTGTGTAATTACCTAAGTGTAGTTACAGGATTAGTCTACCACTGTTTGCGAAAGTGAACTTTTTAATGAACATAAGAACATAAGAATGAAGATAGCTGCAGAAGGCCTAGTGGCCCATACGAGGCAGCTCCTATTTATAGCCACCCAATATATATACATCCATATCATTCATAGATAACTGGAAACACTTATATGGAAGAAATGGCATGTATGCTCGGGATGGGGTACATCTATCTAGAGCTGGGGTTGCTGTTGCGAACTCGTTGGAACCTGTGGTGGGAGGGGTTTGTTTGGGTTTAAACTGTTAGTAGATAGTGGTATGGGAATTGATATGGAAAAAGGAGGTAATAAAATTACTGTATGTGTCTGTGAGAGAAACAAATTGGCAAAATGATCAGAGAAGGGGTGGGGTCTCAAAATAACAATACACTTCGGGTATACTGTACTGTATTACATAAACAGTAGGAGTCTAAGAAGCAAAATAAATGATTTAAATGCTCTTGTATGCTCAAACAAAACAGTTATTATTGCACTTACCAAAATGTGGATGAATGTAGAAATTAAGAGAACTATTAGCTGAATATCAAATAAATAGATTCAAACTATTTCACACAGATAGATATATTAGACGAGGAGGGGGAGTAGCCATAAATGTTAAGGAAAATTTTAAATGTAGTCTCAAAGAGGAAATCAAAACTGCCACACACAGAAACTATTTGGCTAGAATTAAACGAAAAAGCAAATAATCTTATACAGTATTAGTTGTTATATATAGGCCACAAATTTAGACAGAATGGAAGCAAAGAATCTATGGGATGAAATATCTAGAGCATCTAGGTCTAACAGTATTTGTATCATTGGGTGACTTTAATTTTAGTGGAATAAACTGGATTACCAGAACAGGGAATAACGAAACAAGATTTTCTAGAATAAATCGACTATTGCTTTCTTACTCAATACATTAAGGGACCAGCATGGGAAAATAATATTTTAGATTTAGTGTTAACTAACAGGGAAACACAAATTAATGACATTGAAATAGGGATTGAACTAGGGAACAGTGATCACAAAGAAATCAGATTTAGCATAAAATGGAATAGATCTGTAGGAGAAAATTCTGTTAAAGTGCCAAATTTTCGAAAAGCTGATTTTAATATCTTAAGAAACTTTTTGGGTCAAATAGATTGGAAAGTCGGTGATCCAAGCACCAATGTTGTGGAACGACTTATCAAAGATATATTGTTGTCTGGAGAGTGCTGGCATATCTGTCTCCTGTACAGCCATCCAGTTGTCGCAAATTTAAGCACCGGACTTACTGAGGGGGGTCATCAAATAAAGAGCAACCAAACTCAGTTTAATGCATCATGGTAGCTTTGTTGGATTGAGGTTCCAAAATCTTGGTGCTACACTTGGTAGAATTCAAATTCATATAAAAATTGGGTACTCAAAGTGACACAGGTGGGTCCATCCCTGGCCCATGCCCAGGGTGGAAAGTTGGCTTTAGAATGTGTAAAATTGTTGGGTAATAAACAAAATATTTTAGACAGATTTTATTATTAAATGAAAGCAGCATTGTACAAAGCACTTATAAGACAGATATATATGAGGTTATCTGACAGTACAAAACACAAACTTAAAAATCAATATTTCAAATGCAGCAATGATACAAGTTAACAAGATCATACTTATATATAGGATAATTACAATATAATGTGATACATTGAGAATCATGCATCTGAAATAGTACACAACTTTCTGCATTACAGTCTCGGAAAAAAGTGACTAGTTTGAATGTGCTAAAATTTAGGCCAAATGAAACAATATGTGTAGCTTCAACTCTGACATACTGGCCACACATACAGCATGTGTTAGATCCATGATCTGCCAGCTGATTACTGGGGTTTGGGCAACTGTACTAGATCATGATCTGTTATTAAATGCAAGCAAGTGAGAATGTGTCTGAACTCATTAACTCAAAACTGTTTATTTCATCCATCATTACTTTTAAGGTACAGTAGTTTGTTTATTTTACTTTTCTAATTTAATGTAATTTAAGTAAGATTGCTTGAAATACTGTGTTAATTTTGAATAGTCAATATTTTGTATGACTGAAAACCAACCTCTGTACTGTACTAGTGATCATACATGGATTCAATCCTTTTAACCATTTATAATTCATTACTGTACAGTACTCACCACTTTCCAGTCACAAAATATTGCTTCTTAGTGATTTACAAACTTTTTTTTTTTTTTTTTTTTATAGCTTTAAGTAGCCGAGGTTCACCAAGGACCTGAAGCAACGGGTGACCTGGCATAGGGTTACACTGTACTGTAGTGTGCTCTATGTACAGTACATGAATTCACTTGACATCATTATTTGGAAAAGTAATAATGAGTACTGTCCAGTATTTTTTAATTAATGTACTGTATTATTGGTGTACGAGGGCTGGATTTTCCTTCCATGTCCAGTGCCTCTCTGTTAGTAATAAGGCCTCAGACAATTTACGTAGCCTAGATTAGTTTACAAATGTCTATTTCTGAAGTTTATCAACATGGACCTTTAAACATCATTGAACAAACTAGCCACACTATGTAGCTATATTATGCCACAATTCACAGAAGTCTGTCAGCAATGCCTGATTTTACACAAATATTACAAACAAAAAATACTGTAATTCATACTGTACTACCAAATTTGAGGGCAATTTTTTTTACAATGGTGATTTATGCAATTTTTTCAAATATTATGTAATTGCAAAAGAACACTTGCAGCACACACACATGATTTAATTTGACTTCAGATAAAATTTAGTAGTATACAGTACAGTGAATGATAATTCTTGTTAAGCAAGAGCTTCTTTATGTACATCAAATATGACTACAGGCTTGATAAGATATATTTATTATCTTTCACAGAATAATAAATATATTTTTTCTATTGTCTTCAATCAAACCCAAAATTATGATAGTAAGACAAGTAGTACAAGATTAGTTACAAGTCGTATATTATTCCATAAAATATATTTGTATGCAAAAATAAACTTGACTGACATATTTGCTTTATGCCTTGAACAATACATATCACATTTTATGAACAGTTTCACAGCAAATGGGTCAATATTAGCAAAGTTCAACACTCACTGTGCAATTAAACTTAAAAAAGTTAGTCTAAGGTATGTAAAGCAGTACATAAAGAACATGGCAGCGTGAATGATACATCTTAGCATCCTGGAAATTTGCACAAGATTAAGAGGTTAAAAACTTTAGCCATAACAGAAAGAGTAATAGTGTTTTAATTGTTAATGATGTTAAAAATAGATTTTTTTTGGGGGGGGGGTCAATAATTTAAACAAAAATTACTTCTTAGTTACCAAAATTGACACTAATTTATTACAAAGGCATAATTTAATTTTATTTGCAAATATTTGAATACAGTCTAAATTAATATAGCAATATAGAAAATAACAATAAAGAATTATTAGCATCTTTCTTATATCTATTTTAATGTGTTGGCAGATTACATTTCTTTCCTCTCAAATATGCTTATAAGAAAGTACCATGTGTAAGATTTTATGCTGTACTGAAATACTTTTATTAATAGAGACTTTTTCTTGGGAGCCCCAAATGCACCTTATGTTGAAGACTTGTGTGGACATGCTGTAGAGAGAACGTCTCCATGGTAACATATCTCATTACTCGCCAACTTCCCCTGGAAACTGAACATAAAAAGGACTTCATTCAAACTTTATTTAAAGTTTAACTGCAAGAGCATAAGTAATTACTGTATTGTATCCTATAATAATACAAATATACAGTATTATGAAATTTATTTTTTACTTTTTTGTTTGTTTTGTTTCCTAATTTCAGTCATAAAAACTCAGAGACACTAAATCAAAAGTTGAACATATTTTCTACAAAGGTCATGATCACTGAAATATTAATAACCCAACCTTCAACACTATGGTCACCATTGAACACGATGGCAATAGACAATAGAACATATATAAATGTTCTTAAGACATTTATTACTTGGTGCTCATATAGTGTACGCCATAAATGCTCACTTCTAAGAAACTTATTTTCAGTCAAAATAATAATTATAACTTATTTCACAAAGATTTTCTCTCATCCCACACACAATATAATTATTTTACTGACATACTATTCATTAGTCCATTAGAACACTGCAATACAGTATTAAATGTAATCTTCATTGAAATATGGTGAGTAAGGCAGTTTCAAGTTTAAATTTACCAGCTCAAAGCTATGCTTGGCCTAGTAAGTCTACACTGTGCAAGCACCTCTTGTAAGTGGTGAGAGTAAGATTTTCTAAGACATTTCAGAAACACACACACACAGTCCTTGTCATTTTGCTACAAAGCTATTACTGTATAATAATCTGTAATAACTAATGCAGTAATATATATATATATATATATATATATATATATATATATATATATATATATATATATATATATATATATATATATATATACACACTGTACTACCCTGTACTATAGACTATAATAACAAGCAGTTCATTTCTACAAATTGGTTATCATCTTAAGATGTTTGTATATCTACATGTTTGTGCATTTGTATGTGCGCGTTGGGGTATTCGTGTGTAAACCGTTACAATTAGTTATCAAACAGGTGAAAATACGAATTGTGTAAGGCATATCATGGTTGTAAATACCAGATTAAAGAAAATATGAAACAAGATTATTATTGAGGATTGGTAAATTTTAAACTCAAAATATAAGCACGAGCTATCACTTTAACTGTCATGTGTGTGTGTGTGTGTGTGTGTGTGTGAAAACAACATACACAGTTTTGTATTTTCTCAAAATCTATGCTCAACAATAATGTGAA